AGGCATAATAATAGGATTAGTACTGGTTATATCATTAATTTTATACAGTTTGTAGCACTTTTTGCAAATTGCATATTTTACCAAACAAACACAAATTCCAAGATCTTTTTGTATTATATAGAGAGATATAAGAAAGACAGAAAATTTTGTTTCATCTATATTCACAAGAACATAGTAGAAAAATTGAAAGAGAGTATTTGTAGCTATGTTGAATAGGCGAAATTTTTCCTAAACTTTAGAATTCATATAATAATCTATGAAAAAGTATTATCTAATCCTTTAGCATATTTAGAATTTATTTTTTATATTTCAATTTCTAGAGCATTAAAATTCACTTGATAATCTTTTTCTGAATCATCTAATGAATATTCTAAAGTATTGTCTTTAAAATATCTTTTATTATATTCTTCAAATACATCATTATTATTATTATCATTATCATCAGAGAATAATTTGCTTACTACTTCTGAAAGTGAAGTCTTAGACATTTTATTTTTTTGAAAGACAATCGCTGGTACTCTTTTTACTAAAAATGAATAGAACTTTCTTGTGATCCTTTATTATAGTTTATATCATTTTCAAAATTTGAAGGTATTAAATCAATAAATGGAATTTCTAGTGCTTTGTAAAAATTAGTTTTGACTTCTCGTTAAGGAATAGTTATTTTTTGGCATAAGCTGCTTTAGTTCTAAGATCTACCAATTTTCCTTTACAACTCTGATAATTACAAAGTTCTAGTTTTTGAGTTTAGAGAGGACGAGTATAGGAAGTTTTTTAAACATTTTAAATACTAATTTTATTAGCCTTATTATAAAACATTTTAATAAAGAGTAAAATAATTTTTATTTATTATAAATTATATTTTAATAATATTTATTATTTATTTTGTTTACTTGTAATTATTGATTTAATTTATTATTAATTAAATTGTATTTATTTATTAATGAGTATATATAGATCTACTTAAGATAATTTTAACTAATTTAAACTCTTTCTTGATTTTTACTTTTTTCAGCAAACTTTTTTATTTCATATTATATTATTCTATAATAACGGATGAATACAAGTGAGTAAATAAAATTTTTTTATATTTTATTCTTTTAAAATAAATATTATTTTATTTTGATAATACGGAAGAACTCTATTATAAGAAAAAGATAAAAGTCAAACTCCTTCTTTAGTAGATAGAAAAACTTGATGATTTTGTTGAAATGGTACTTTATTAAATAAAAAAAGAAGTCAAATGCTGTACTTTTCAATAGACAAGAAACCTTTACAATTTTATTAAGATGGTGCTTTGTTAAGCAGGAAAAGAAATCAAACTCCTTCTTTAATAGATAGGAAAACTTCACGATTTTGTCAAAATGATGCTTCATTAAGCAGAAAAAAAATTAAACTTTGTACTCTTCAATAGACAGGAAAACTTCACGATTTTATCAAGATGATGCTTTATTAAGTAAGGAAAGAAATCAAACTTCACATTCTAGTTAGGATAATATTTTGTTAAATAAGAATAAAAGTTGAACTCTGTACTTTTATCAAGATATTGCTTTATTAAATATAAGAAAAAGTGAAAGAATAGAAAGCAATATTGGTAAAGAAAATCAAAAAGTAATTTTACAAGTAATCTTAAAAAAAATGTCAATATATTTTAATTACTAATAACTTAGTATTAAAATTTGTAGAGTTACATTTAGCTATTCAGATTTAATAAGAGAAGTAAGTGAACTTCGTTATGAAAGGAGAATTCTTATTGGATTAGTAGTTAGGAAAATTGAACAAGAGTACAACATTTCTTATCTTTTAATCTATCACCAACTAATTATTCTAAAGTTTGAAAAACTTTAAAACTAATGAATTATGAGTATAAGAAAGCATTTTGGATTAGTATAAGCTATTCTATTGTAAATATATTTTATAATTATTTAACTTCTTTTATTGTAGGATGAGATCATTCAGATTTTAAAGAGTTTAGACAGCTCTTTAACAATTTATCATACAAATCGTTGGACAGATATTAAAATCCATGTGATTTAAGATATAATTCTAATAGTAAAAAAAGCATTTAATAATAGATTTTAATATACAGATACAGAATTAAAGAAGATTTTACAAAATCTTCATCATTATCAAAGAAATACATATGCTATTTCAATAGATTCTTTAAAATCAAAAGCAAATAAACAAAGGACTGACACAAATATAAGAAAAAAAGATGTAAGTATTAGTTGTAACTTTGGATATAAATTTATATTATTTATTTTGTGATAATATTAACATTTATTTATTTAATTTTTATTTATTATTTTATTATAATATACTAATATTTATTTATTTAATATTTATTTATTTATCTTATTATAAAAGAAGAAAATAAACGCTAAAAAGGGTTCTATCATATGATGAAAATTAAAGATCAGATTCTTGTAGATTTATAACTATCATTAATACTGTGAAATAATCAGATTGAGGATTTAGAAGTAGTTATCAGTAACTTGAGTTATTATTTGGATAAAGTTTCAGAATCAGATACAGAAAAGGTACAAGAAGAAAAGAATGAGAAAATTCATTTACTGCGTTTAGAAAATTCAAACGATATACTCTATATATATAATAAGCAATGGAGGTCTAGTAGAGTAAGATAAATATATAATATAAAATTAGACTTATTTATCACATTCTATTAATTAAAAATTTTCTATCATAGTTTCAAAAACTTCTGCACTATGTCAATTCAATAGGAAAAAGTATTCAGAATATAAAAATTAGAAGAAAAAGATGGTATAATAACAAATTATATATAGAAGATAATTCTAAACTACCTTGTAATGTATCAGAATAGGTTATTCAACTTCATATTACTTTAGATAATCAAAGTTTTATATGATTAATATTTGTATAATATTAAACAACATTACTTATTATCATTAGTATAGTATTTATTAACATTAGCATTTAATAAACATTTATATTATCAGAAAAAATGTATTTACAATACAATATTTAAATATTAAATTATAAAATTATTAAATAATTTCATTTAAATTTTTTATAAATATCAAACTTATATATGTTTATTATTAAATTTATTAGAGATATCAGGAAATATACATTACTAATATTATAAAAATATTATAGATATATTGGAAATATTTAAGAATGCTGATATTTCTTTAATATTATAATTTAATTAACTAATATAATTTTACTGAAGTTTATATGAAGATCCCCAATCTGTGCTAAAAATCGGTTAAGATTCATACATGCATATCAAGCCTAATTTAATATAAAATCAGTATTAGTAAATACTAATATTGGATATATGAATTTTATCTGATTTTTTTTATCTGACCTGTAAATGATTATATAGATTTTAAGTAGTTTAGTAATATTTTATGGGTAATTATTAGATTAAGAATAAAAAGATCAATTAATTATATTCAGTTTAAATTATAGTTTGTCGAAATGCTAAGCATTTGTTATAAGCTTAAGTCTAGGATTGTAAAATATAATTTGAATGAATGCTTTTCTTGGTAAGTCATTATAGTTTTTGAATGAAAACAAATTGTTGGTATATTTTTTTAAAGATACATAAGTATTAAGAAAATAGATGTAAATAAATGCATTTTTCTGCTGCATTTTTAATACAACCTTAAATAAGATTTAAAAGAAGTTAAATGCAGATTTTGAACATAATTTAGTAGGAGTTAGATTGGATAGTTGACAGCTTTCAAGCAGATCATTCATTTTTTTATCAAATTAGTTCTAAGATTGATCATTCATAAAGTCATAAAAGTAAATTTTCTTTTTAATTTAGTTTTTGCTATTATTTAGAACATTAAGCTCTGTTATATTGATGTTAATCGAACTATTGAATGGTCAGTTATATTGGAATCAATATCAATAATTTGTGCTTTATTAAGGCTGGTTGCTATATATAATATATAATAGATGTAATCGATTCTAGTTGGATGATAGTATTAGAATGGTAATAGGAGAAAAATATTAAATATTTTAATTTTTCTACAATATTTTATAAACAATTTTATACTTGCCATTAAAAGGATAATAATTTTTTAAATTTCTTTAAGTTTCATATATTTGTGAATTAATTGAAACCTTTATTACTAATAAAATAAAATTTCCTTTTTTTTTATTATAAATTTTAATAAGATTATCAAAGATTATTAATAATCAAAAATTTTAATATAATGATTTTTTTAATAAAAATTACTATAATATCATATATGGGACTTTTGCAATATAAACAGGAGGGAAGCGGTTGAAAAAAATAAAAATGAGTTAATGCTAAATCTGACCGAAAATCATATGGCATATAAAGGTAAAAGATTTTTTCCGGCAATTTCCCCCCTTTGCATATATTTATATAAAAATAAATCTTTTATAGTAAATAAGCACATTACAATTTAAGGAAATAAATTATTTTAAATGAATTTTATAGATTAATAATAAGTCTATCACACGTAATGATTATAAATATGATCCAATTATTATTTATTAATATGTATATATAAATTAGCAGAGGTTACTTTTTATATTAAATATATGTATGCTTTATAATCAAAATTCTCTTCTCATTGATACTGTTAATCCAATATCAAATGATTCGAGGCTCGCATGAAGCCGGATTGATTATAAAAGTCCTTTCAAATATAGCCAAAAACTCCGAAAAACTAAATAGTCTCGGAGATTCGGAAATGGGATGGTTTTGTCCGATTCATCCGGCATTATTTGACCATTTTAGATAAGCTCATAAACTGACGATCGTGATAGATAAGTCTAGCGCCAACCGGTTGGCAAAAGAAAGAAAAACATTTATGATATAATTTGTCATGTAGAAATTTGTTACTGCGTCAAGAATTGTATTTTTCACGTGATCGAAATCATTATTTTACGTGACTATCAAAACCCTCAGGTGACTTTATAAAAAATTTTTAAACGCGCCAGAAACAAACAAGATATTAAGAACGCGATTCGTCATGTCTGAAATTAGCGAGAGAGGCTCACCAAGGTGTTTATCCAATATTCCTCATAAAATTTTTTATTTATATAAACGTACTAACGTAATAACTTTAGTTCGAAGCGTGTCAGATTTCTTGATGATTCGTCAAATTTTATCGACCCTTTTAACAATCCTTTTCTAGAAGAATCTGAGAATTCGGGTATAGAAAAGTTGAAGAAAGATCGTACGTAATTACTTACCCTAAACAGTAATAGTGCAACTTTCAATAACTTTTATTTTATTTTGTTTTTAATATATAGTTCAAAGACTGGAGAGAGAACGTGACGAAAAGAAATTACTATTTGACAATTTGAAGAAATCTCATAGTTTGCGTGATATCATTGATAAAGAAAACGTTGATGAAAATGTGACGATGACTCAGGATGAATTCCAAGAGCATGTAAAATATTTTCTAAATGCCGATTGTTAAATTGACCACACAAGTGTTCAAATTTTTTTTGTCTTTGTTAGATGATTCAAGATATGATACAAGCTAGCAAGGAACGTGAATATGAAGAAATTTTGAATGCTTATCGATTAACTGGCATAACAATCTTCTCGGTAAAAGGAAATCGTACTGGAATCAGATTCGAGACATTCTATAGAGGTTAATAATCCATTGATTTAGTAACTTGTACCCATGTTTCTCGTTATTAACCACGATTTAGTTTTTTTATCTAGCCAAATACCGTGAACCTTATTATATCATTTTGGAACAAGATCAAGAGAACGATCAATTAAGCGTTTTCAGACATACGATACCACATTTCATTCCCATTGACGAGCTGGAAGCTACTTATCTGAATAAGGATCTGAGAGTAAATGTTTATTTGTTAAATAATTTGTTTAAATTCATTAAACGACCTTCTCATCACATATGATGCTTTAATAGAAATTTGCTAATATTATTGGTGAAAACTTACAAGCGTTCGTGACGAGGCGTGAAGAATTAAACACTTTATTGGAAAGTGGAAAAGCCATAGAGCCCAAAGCTAACCACGCTTATAGCGTTATCGAATTCACGATTCCTTTAAAGGATAGGTTAGAAGAATATTTATTTCGTTTTTTACAATAATCATATATCTCACCCGGTTTTTCTTATCATAATAGTACTGCTCTTGTGGAGGCTAGCTTGACATACGATGACTTGAAATCCTCGAATCCTACAAATGCCGTAATATTTCTGACTAAAGAAGGTAAGTTTGAAGACCCAAACGTGAAAATAAAACGTCATTAATTTTTCAACACTTTTGCAGACCCCGAGAGTTCCGAGAAGCGGCGTCAAAGATTACAAAGACGTGAACAAGAATTCTTACAACGAAATTTAGTGGAAGCATTCGACATTGTCTTTGGGGAGGCCGAGGAAATCGATATGTAATTTTGGAACTTACCTTATCGCTCATCGAATCTGTATTTACACTTGAGAGAATTAAATAATAATTATCACTCGCATAGTTAATACGTACACAAATTCATATTTATACACTTAAATAGAAAAATAGATAACTGATAATGTGATTTGTTCGAGACAAAAAATATGTCAAATATTTTATTTTAGTTTTTAAATAATTTTTTTTTTTTTTTTTTCAGTACTTGATTATCTAAATTAATTACATTAAAGTGAAATTATTCACTAACGAGTTCTATATTATATAAAAGTGTGGTTGGTTGGTTAAGGCCGTTTGTATTTTTTTTTAAAAATTCCCAAGTAGTATTAGGATTATTGCTTAATGAAACGTGCTTATTAGGTATGAATTTTTTTAACTTTTATTTCTTAAAATGGAGGGAAAGTACACTATGTGATTGACGAATGATATAGATTGGATTGGGAATATAATTTTTTTTTTTTTTTTTTAAAAAAAAAAAGGGAGTTCTATTAAACTGTACAAAAAGATTAATTGAAAAAAAAAGTATATTACAAAGAAAAAAAAAATTTGAATGCAAAGGATGCTAAATCTAAACATTTAAACAATGTCCAAAGCCGTAAGTGCCCAACTCTTCTTGTCGTTCGCATAATAAATTATTACGAAGAAATAATAAAAATAAAAATAATAATAACGAATTTAAAATGATAAACTATTTCGATTTTTTGACGATGTATTTGTTGTTTTTAGTAATTTTCTATATTTTTCTTTTAATTTAAGCCCACTAAATCTTCTCATATGTTTGTTACTTTTTGATTTGTTATTGTTGTTTGTTGAGGTGGATTTACCTCCCAACACTGAAGAGGAATGATCAGAATCTTCTTGACAACTTTCACTTTCACTTGACATTCTTAATTCAACGTTTCCAGCTTCAATCAAGAATTGAGTGAAACTAGATGATTCCATTAATTCGAAAATTTGATCTTTTACTTGATCGAATATTGATGGATGATAATTATTATATTGAAATACGTTTGTTAATAAGTAATCTCTTGTTTCGGCGGGAATATTTACCTCTTTGGGAGAGTTTGGTATGATGAAAGTGGTTATTAATTCATGTAATTTTTGTTTGAGAAAGTCGAGATGAGCGGGAGCATCACCGCGTAGCGATGCATCGTCATCGTAATAAGTTAAGGCAGGGTCAACGACGCTCAATAGGGAAGTTGACTCAAAAAAGGAATCAGATTCAACGATATTTGACATGGGTGAAGAAGAGTAATTGTAAAAATTACAAGCGTAATAAGTATATCTTCGTAGAGCCAAATAGAATTCTAAATTCTCTAGACAGTAAGTTTGATCGAGGAAGGTAGCAAAGTCATCCAGCGAATAAGGGTATGAAGTTTCATTGTTTAAGATGTCACCTAACGTTGGTTTTCTGGTTGTTATTGGTATCATTATATTTGTCGTTTTATTTTAATAAATAAGTAGTAGTAGTAGTAGTAGTAGTAGTAGTAAAATGTGATTGTTTTAATTTTATTTTTTCGTTGAAATCCACGTTAAATAAACGAGATTATATATATTTATTATTAAATTTTTTTTTTTTACAACTTATTTTTTTATTTTCTCAAAAGAGGAGAAAAATTTTTTAAAAAATGTTGTGTGGATGAATGGTAAATGCGTGTAGAAATTGCGGGGTTATATATAGGATACAAGTTTAGTACTTGATTTTGAACTAGCCAAAAAAAAAAAAGTTTTTAGGGGGGGGGGGGGTTGAGATGAATAACATGTATTATTAAAAATATATTAAATGTATTGTAAAAAACTTATAATAATTGATTGGTACACGAAAAAAAAAAAAAAAAAAAAAAAAAAAAAAACAATCTAAAAAATTTTTTTATGTTAAGATAAGTAGTCAGTTGATAAATGGATTGTTGTTAGTTCCTTTGGTGGTTGTTGTTTGT